TAAAAATTGATAATTTGAAGATGTCATATTTTAACAAAAATTGACTTTTCATGAGTTTATTTTGTCTCACTCTGTACGCAGATATCATAGTACTTTAATGTCCATATAGCAAATGAAAAAAGCTCTTTATGCTGTTGCTTGGTGATCTTTATCAACCTCTACTAGAACTAAATATTTCATGATATATATTTCAAATGGCATTGTTTTCTAAAAATAATCAACTAGCATTTAACTCAAGTTCCAAATTGATGTATAGCTTGTATCCTCATTCCTTGCACACCTTTCTGCTTCACTAAAGAGTCTCTGGTGTCAATAGCATATCAACACATCAGATGGGAAGAGTTGCAAGTGTCATTACGTGTAGTAATTACCATGCAAGTCTTGCAGTTTATGCCCATATATTACATAAATGTGTATGCACTAGTGCCAAAGGGAAAGGACCAAAAATTGTAAAATAACACATGAAGAAATTGAAAACATATAAGAATACACCAGTCATAAGAAAACAGCCCCAAGCTGTACAAAACCATAAATCAACGAGAAAATGAAACAATGTATTATACAACCTCTCTCCACCATCCAGGTTTCATTATTCACGATGCCCATGTCAAGCAGCGTGCCTACTAGGCACGCAGTTTGAAACTCTGACAAACTGCGCGCATATTTCAAAATGGAAGACGGGGAGGACACGACTCCCAAAAAGAGTCAAAATACGAAAAATACAAGATTAGCCTCGTTCTAAAGATAGTACCATTCTGTAAAGATGAACTTAATTTACTCATAGTACTCAATGTTTTTCCCGATGTAAACCTAGATATCTCAATATAAGGGTCTTAAGTAACTTCTGTGTTCAAAATTTACAGTGTAAAGTTATATCTATCTATGTCTTTTTATCATCACTTGCCGTTTATTCAGCCATTGTGTCTGCGTATGCTAGAATATATAGGATCACTCCATCTGATTAAAGCAGCATAATTTGTGTTCAAAACGATAATACGCCATAAACGTGATTTAAACATTTTTCTTGTCAAACTGCGCGCCTATATTCACATGTATTTCCCAAACTGCATGCCTAATATTTCCAAACTACTTGCCTATCCAAGCTTGTTTTGTATTATTTGAAAACATAAGCGCCATATGTAAGGCACATATGTGACTAGTAGTAGAACCCCATAATTGAAACACTATGAGAGTCCATCCACCAAGATGGTGATCTGAAAATAAAAGTTTTTATTTCGTTCCCAACTCAATTGTCACTTCTATTATATATTTTGACTTTCAATAAGAAAATCTCATAAAATCTGACGATAAAGCAAAATTTCCAAAGCTATATGAAAAACACCTACACAACTGCCTCTGTAGAAATTCCAATGATAATATGTAGTTTTAATAGTGTATGCGCACAGTTAGTAATTTCTGGCTAAAATAGGCGCGCAGTTTGTGGTTTATTTCTTTTTAATCTCCTGATTATCTGTTTTATCTCGAAATATTTTGAATTATACATGATGAATGCGTAAGGAATTAAATATAAAACGAGTCTAAAGTATTTGTCATTTATGTTTAAAGTGCTAGATCGATTTACGTATAAATTCCCGTTAAATCACTGACGAAAATGCCATTAATCTGCTTATGTTTTAAAACTTAGATTCATTTGCACATAGTTTTTGCTAGTATTTGCAAGATTCGTATATTCGCCACAGAATGAACGCATTGAACAAGAAAACAATGCAGGATAAATGTCTTTAAATTACGTTTCAAAATACAGACTCTAACTTAAATGATGCAATGTTGTTAGGCACGTAGTTTGTGATCGAAACAATCTGCGTGCCTAAGTAGGCGCGCAGCTTGACATGGGCATCGTGTTATTGCGATAAGTAATCTTAATATCCACGGGCATTTCATTCATGATGAAATCATTGCAATAAATGTAGAAGGATACAAATAAATGGATAACCAATACTTATAACAACAAAATAGCTGTAAATACGTGTATTCATACAAGATAGAGCATTTAATCTCAAATGATGTGGGACAAACAAAATTCCCAGCCTCGAAGTCAATCAATGTATCAAAGGGCCAACATCCATCTACAAAGCCGACGTCATTATTCATAACAACACGATATTTCACAATGGTTTCCGGAAGAAAACTATATAAGACTGGTTTTGATTTCAACATAGCTGGGATTAACTTTAAAAGGTGCTTAGTGAAATGAATGTGAGTTCTATACAACTCTGTAAAATGCCAACATCCCTGAGCAAGTCAAGTTTTTCCAAATTGGAGCAAGGGAAAAATCATTACCTGGTAAGTTACGTTTCGTTTCCTGCAATGTTTATACATACGTAGACCATATACCCCTGGATCAATGAAATATTACAATTCAAATGTAGAAAATTCACAATAAATATCTGTAACAACAATTGCATTCACAATATATCATTAAATATTTAAATGTTTTGGGTTGATACGAAAATTCTATTGTTTTCTTCAAAAACTCCAATTGGGCTTAGTCATTTCCTAAGTGACATCTATATTATTAAGTAGAGTGAATGTTTATTCTAAATAGGGAATTCGAAATGGCCAGACGTACATTCAGCAGTGGTAAGCATATTTTGATTTACATGCCCGAGCAAGGGGCGCCCGAGCAAGGGGCTAAAATAAAAGGCTTTGAGGGCCTAGAGATATAATGCCCGAGCAAGGGGCTAAATAAAAGGCTTTGAGGGCCTAGAGATTAAAAGGCTTTGAGGGCCTAGAGATATAAATGCCCGAGCAAGGGGCTAAAAATAAAAGGCTTTGAGGGCCTAGATATAAATGCCCGAGCAAGGGGCTAAAATAAAAGGCTTTGAGGGCCTAGATATAAATGCCCGAGCAAGGGGCGCCCGAGCAAGGGGCTAAAATAAAAGGCTTTGAGGGCCTAGAGATATAATGCCCGAGCAAGGGGCTAAATAAAAGGCTTTGAGGGCCTAGAGATTAAAAGGCTTTGAGGGCCTAGAGATATAAATGCCCGAGCAAGGGTCTAAAAATAAAAGGCTTTGAGGGCCTAGATGTAAATGCCCGAGCAAGGGGCTAAAATAAAAGGCTCCAAAGGCCTGAAAATATATGCGCAAGCAGGGGGCAAAAAATATGAACCATAAGTAATGAATAAAAGGCCTTGAGAGCCTAGAGATACAAAGATATATGCCAGAGCAAGGGGCTATTAAATATAACTATGAGACAATATAAGAGTTTTCTGAGAGGCAAATATTTGACAGAAACAAAGAAAAATAGAACATTGAGGACATGAAAAATCTTGATAACATGGCCTTATAATGAACACTGAAAATTCAACGTGTTAATAACACAGTAAAATTAGAGGTCATTATACAGTACGTTATAGTACAGTGTGACGAAAATAATGACACTCAGGTATAATCTGGTAATTGGCAATAATGAAAACTGGGGTTTACTCAATAGAAAGTAGGTTGAATTGTTTTGACATGACTGGATAACCTATGCAAGTGATTGGTTATGTAATGGTTTAATTCCATGTACCCTCTTGTAAACTAATTTGAAAATGACTTGAGTTTGTAACATTTGAAACTAGTGAAGTCTGATAATAAACAATTGGCTTCTCTTTACATCTAAAGTCCGGGAACACTGATCTCTTAGTGGTTTTAACCACGTGGACTTCGGATGTGAGAGTTGTCTCTCCACAGTAGGAGGTAATTGGCAATTGAGGTTAATTACTCATTTTAGGTGACTGATTTTTCCCCACCAGTAATTCATGAATGAAACATTGATATGAGGTCAATTTTAGGTTTTATTAGCTTCATAATTACATCATGGAAAACCATGAACTACTGGGAGAGATTGCTCTCAAATCCGATGTCCACGTTAGTTTTTTGTTAATTTAATATTAAAGATTTGAGGATTGGGAGTAGTAACAATTAACAAATCACATTATTCAGGATGTAAATACACCGTAAAGGGTAAAATTAAATGTGTATTTCACCCAATCCTTTAACATGAAATCTACTTGAATGTATGGATGTCACTTAGGAAACATAGACACTCGTACTCACAAATGATAAATATTTTAATCTTATTGATCGGATGATCTTAAAAGCAACAATTTGTCCACACGGTGTTTGTGTGTTGCAATGTGAATTAACGAGGCTTCGTAAAACTGCATGTTTGGTTGGACCAATAAATCTAAGTCAGAATATATTTATAGATACATTTTATCTTATATTTGCACCTTTGTGAATTTGTGATGCATGCATGGTTCACTGTCAAAATGAAAAGTTCAAAATCAATTAAGCATAGCAAACTGAGTCAGTCAGACCACTAGATTTTGAGAACTTCACTGCCAAAATGCAAAGTTCAAATTCAAAACAATGTCATGAAAGTATTGATTTCACCGGCTTTAAACCGAGTGTATTCCTGGATATTCCGGAGGTCATAAATAATCAATTAAACATTGTCAACAGAGTCAGTCAGACAACTCTATTTTGAGAACTAACCACCCTCATTTATTTAAGAAAAGACAAGACTAGAATCATGCAAAATTATGAAATACAAGTGGGCATAATTTGAAAATAAAACAGAGTTGATGAAATTATATTTTCTGATTTTCGATTTGAATCGCTGGGTGTAAAGTAATTTCCATCCGTGAAATGTCCAAAAACAAAAATAGGATTGCATTTTTCAGTTGCTAGAAAATAACCATAAATGGGAAGAACTTTAACTTTCTGAATTCGGCTGCACAGACATTCGTGCCTCACATGCATTTATATAAATCCTTTCACGTGTAATAGTAATGGCTTAAAAGTTGCGACAAAGTGTAAGCAACAGAAGTTTCTTTATAATACTAAAACAATTAACAGTATGTATATACATTAAAAGACAACAGAGTAAAAATAAATTAACACGCTGAAATGCTTTAACCTGATTGGCTGAGACACACTTGGTTTGTCTGAATTATGAACAAAGTTGCTATATTCGTTTATATTATTTAACTTTATTTTCTAACTCAACTAATGTAAAGTTTGTTTTTATATCAAACGATATTTACAAATTAAACGTAATATAAAACATATCATGATGATCAATATGCATTAGAGTGAGATGTGAAAAAGCAAATAATTACAAGCATGACATAACTGTGAACACCGGATCGTAGAAATAGACAGAAGTGTCAAGTGACACTAACTGATAGGTTAGTTATTGTCACATGACCCACCGTCTGCATATGGATTCCCATTATTAGTCACCCATGGTCACATGACCTGTTGTCTGCACAATGAAAAGAATTATTGACTAGATGTAGTCATGTGACATATAGTTTTCACAGCGGTTTATTTGATTGGCTAGATCAGGTCACGTGATATAACAACCGTCATAGCTAGTGATTACTCTCGAGTTCATGATGTTTATACAAGTTGAAAATGCATTGTGGGTGGAATGAGGACGGTGTCGATGACGTGGATCACTCCATTTGTTACGGCATCATCAGCCATGATAACTTCAGCATTGTTTACTCGGACCATACCTGAAAATACATGAAGTATACAAAAATTTAGGCGACTTTAATAATGAGTCTGGTGAAATCTTATCGCATACTTTACAACGATATAATTTCGTAATGTTGGTCTCTGACTGCGGCCACATGGAACTGAACTATACTGCACGACTGACACCTTTGTTTAATAACAAGTAACGAAGCATGTAGCTTCAGTACCCTCCTTCGAAGAGCCACTTGAAAACCTTACTCGTCAACTTGATTTTATCTTAAATTTGATTTTGCTAAATGAAACCTTACATATTGCACATTACCGTAAATAAATTGCACGGCACATTTGCATAAAATGAGAGAGTCAGAGATAGGCTAGGGGGTAATGAATAAGCAAGTGGAAAACATGGATTCAATTTACCTCCTCCAATGCTGACTTTGACGTCTTTTCCATTTACGGTTGGTACCATCATACCATCAGAAAGACTTGCGCTATAGAATGTTCCAGATACAACATGGTAGGTGAGAACGGCTGAAATATGAAAAACAGTTTTAACGTGATTTGTCGTTTACGTCGGAGGCTACTGTTACACATTAGCAGTTATAAAAAAGTCTGTCCCCGTTGTCTTTTAAGTGTGTACCTAAACATGTTATATCCGTTACTAGTCATTACTTAGTGTTTACCCTCGATGCCCTCAAAATATCTATATTTTCCTCATTGGCCATAGCAAAAACCTCCCATATCAAAGCACGTCCATGTAATTAAAGAGAACGTAATTCACACATGTATCCATAATTTTTCACAAAATATTCATTCCTTTAACAAAATGAACTGTTTGTGATTACTCGTAACAGCGACCAAGTGATCTAATATTCTCTCTATTTAATGTATATTATGTAATTATTATGCTTTATTTATTGTTATTCTGAAATAAAATGTACATATTAAGTATTTGGATTGTACCTGTGAGGGCGGTTTTGTTCTTGAGAAGACCATCAAGGACACCTGGTGGTAGTTTGGCAAAGGCCTGGTTGGTAGGTGCAAACACTGTGAATGGACCTCCTAAAATACATGTGGTGTACAATAAATTGCAGTAAAAACTGAACATATGTGTTAAGTAAATACATGTACCTACAAGAATATGATTTTGCTTGCGCATGTTCAGAGAACATCTTTCTCTATAGACTCTATAACGTAGCTATTTTCAGATGTGATCATCACTTTAAGAACAGCGACATCAACAAGAGACGAGTTTGAAATAAGTTTATAAAATAAATATTTGTATGGTCAACTTATCAAGTACATTGAAAGTATCTATTTTCGAAGTTTATCTAATCATATCGAACAAACATGCACCATTTACGCATATACACGTGCATGATGACAACAGGCTGATAGTACTCCAAAATTCCCCATTGTTATTCACTTTTTATCTTGTATCTGTATTACGCGGAGTGATATCTGAAGTGTCAGCTAAGAGACAAAAGAGAAACCAAGTAAACATTCAGTATTAAAACAACGATTTGAAAAGTGCCGAGTCAGCATATTCTATCATATTAAAGTTCGAGTTTGGCAATCTGTTAGAAGCATATCAACAACGCACTTGCAGATAAAAAAATAGTTGTGATTTTTACATTTATATATAATGCTCGAAAAAATATTAACTTGATCCTTAACCTCATCAGAATACTTTTATCAATATATGAAAATATACAATAAATAGAAACATCGTATCAGACAAACGTGTAATATTTACATAGCTATACACGTGCATGATGACAACAAGCAAGTCGCTGATAGTGCACACCAAATCCCCATTGTTTTTCACTTTTTATCTTGTATCTGTATTACGCAAAGTGATATCTGAAGGGTCAGCTAAGAGACGAGAGATAAACCAAGTAAACATTCAGTATTAAAACAACGATTTGAAAAGTGCCGAGTCAGCACATTCTATCATATTAAAGTTCGAGTTTGGCAATCTGTTAGAAGCATACTAGTATCAACAACGCACTTGCAGATAAAAAAATAGTTTTGATTTTTACATTTATATATAATGCTCGAAAAAATATTGACTTGATCCTTAACCTCATCAGAATACTTTTATCAATATATGAAAATATACAATAAATAGAATCATCAGCAGACAAACGTATAATATTTACATAGTTATACACGTGCATGATGACAACAAGCAAGTCGCTGATAGTGCACACAACATCCCCATTGTTATTCACTTTTTATCTTGTATCTCTATTACGCAAAGTGATATCTGAAGGGTCAGTAAAGAGACGAGAGATAAAACCAAGTTTCATATTGGAACAACGATTTGATTTACCTGGTCATTGTTGTTCTCCTCTTATTTAATAATTGGCCTCACTTTACCATTAGGCAAAAAGACTACTAGAGAAGGTGTGGATGAATCTCACTTTTAAGAATCCAAATCAAACTATTTGATTGTATAACATGTGATCTATGGGGAATCTTCCTGACCTAAAAGTCACATTAATGTAATTTTACAAATTTCAAATAAAGGATCGCTTTGAACGCAGGTCTCTAGGTGTCATCCTTTCGTCCCTTCAATTCACTAAATATGTGTATATCTATGCGCACCTGCCAAAATAGTTACTCGACTTACCCTCGAGGGTTGAGGCTAGACCAGCAGTCTGGACAGCTGTGAGGAGAGTACTGAAGTCTTTGCCTCCTGCGACAGCGGTGACAATGTTCATTGTGGGGATTGGGAACATGACACGGCTAAGGACGTGAATCACTCCATTGGATGCCATCTGATCAGCCATGACCACTGGACTACCGGTGGCAGTAATCAACTGAAATAGCAAACGAGGCATGAATAGTCACAATGAAAGAAGCTGGGATTAGAATGATAAAATTGGCAGTACAATCAACATAACATTTTAATATTAATAATGGATACGCACAATAATAGCTAATGAATGAAAATGAACAAAATTAATAAAAAGTATTACATTTTTAACAGAAGGAAAATAACAATGAATATGGCAAATGAATAATAAACATCTTATGGTTGTACAATAAATAGAATTATAAACAAAACCAAGAAACGTTATTCTCATAGGTGTACGATGGTAGTCCATAATGTTTTGACATTTTCTCTCTAATCTAAAAACGTTTTGGACGACCCTCGTATATGCATCTATCCGTCAATCACAACCGAAGAAGCTATATAACCAAAAGATTTATTCTTACTTTGCCATCGTTGTAGATATTGATGCGGATTGATTTTCCGGTGTCCAAGCTTGGCACGACTTCTTCATTCTTGAGCATATCACTGGTGACTTTACCGCCGAGGACGTGGTAGAGAAGAACACTTTTCAAAAGAGCTGTGTCCTTCATGAGTATCCTGAGGAGTTCCTTGGGAAGGGCAGCGAACGCATCGTCAGTGGGGGCAAATACTGTGAATGGACCTATAGGAAAAAGATGTTTTATTAGTATGGTCAGTAAGGCATGGACATCTGGTTATATCCTCGTCGATATACCGTTCTCGATGAGCTCAATGATCTGTTTGTAAAGTGGCAGGACATTGTATCATAATTTGGGGTATGTTGACATTAACTTATAAGATAGGAGAGCTCAATCTCCGAAAGGGAATTTAAAGCACTGTGAACTTAGTTATTATCGAGCCCTGGATTATAGTAAGCCACGCCCCTTTCTTTCAAAATTGTTTTCATTACACCATTACCTTAAGGTTCAGCTGGAAATACTAATTGCTATACCTGCACATGTTATTTTCTGGTAGAAAGTTAAGTATGAAGGCATGTTTATATTTCCTTGCTTTATTCAGGAAAGTATCATCACATTGTCCACTTTTAGCAAACCTGGAAACAGGTCAATGGTAGCTCCTGTGATGTCTGAAAACTTTGAAAGAAAAAAGTGTGAAATATCAGAATTTCCTGGAGTTCCCATTGACCGCTTACCAGATAAACTAAAAGAAGACAATGAAATGATACTTTCCTGAAATTGTGACAATGCCTTCATACTAGTGTACCAGAAAATAACATGTGCGGGTATTTTTTACCAAAATATTATTTTCAAGCTGTACCTTAACCAGGCCCGTAGCAAGGGGTGGGGAGCCGGGGGCTGGAAGCTCACCCCTGGCCAGAAATTCTTTCAAAATCATGTAGTTTTTCACCATTTCACCATTCTGAGCACTTTTAGCATGATTTTTTTGCCAAAAAGCTCCCCCTGGCAAAAGCCCCTCTTCGGCCTTGGTAAATCCTAGCAGTAAGTACCATATGAATGCTTTCTGATAGATACACACTTAGTCTAGCTTCAAGGCTCTTGTGACCCTCCAATAGACCCCCAAATAGATGGGGAGAGGGGGGGTCCTAGAGATACTTGAATCAGACTACCACACACTGGGTAAAATTGCAATATGAAATAATAACAAAGTATTTTGCTCACCAGGTCCCATGAGTGTGTCTGCAAGTCCTGCAGCTTTAACCAGCTTTACAAGAGTATTTGCACCGAGTTTTTCAGCGACTTGCACAATGTTCATATCTGCTCTGTCATTCCATATTTCCATGTTGAAATTGAGCATATTCTCTGGCAACGCTGATGCCATGCATAAGCAAGCTAAAGCTACGAACAATTTCATGTTGAAGATATGTTTCAATTACACTTCTGGAGTTGACTGAGATTGCAGCGTGAATGGCACGTTTGGGTCGCTTCCTTCTTATATCGATGACCCACAACTCGTGAGCCTGGCTTATTGACTTGCGATTTCAGTCTCGTGATAAAGGTTATAAAATATTGGCAATAAACCTACTAGAGGTAGCCAAATTCTAATCTATAAATCACTATTTATGTGGCAGCTACACAAACAATGACACTATACGAGGTAAAAGGTTGAATGGAAAAGATTATGAAACCGCGTAAAATATTGACCCATATAGTTCACTGCAAGTGTTTACTCACTTCACACATGACCTTTTTAAGACAAATCTTATGACCGAGATAAAAAGATGGCAACAAGTTGATAAGACCATCCGTACTACACTATTTACTTGAGTGTATATAATACAATTCTCACGAAAAGCACAATAGATATAGGGGCGTGGCCAGCTTTCAGTCGGGGGGGGGGGGGGGGTGTGATCGCCAATTTTTTCAATATTCAGTCAGGTGGCAAAAGCAAGGCTAAATTTAAAATTTGTTATGAATTTTACAAAAATTGATGCAACTTTCTTCAAAATTGAGCCAGAGGCTTCAAATAAAAAGCATTTTAAAGCTCTTTTTTTCTAGGCTCCATCTAATGGTTTTGTTTTCATTGGTTATGGGGGAGGGGGGGGGGGTCGCACCCATCGCACCCCCTGGCTACGCCCATGGATATATAACATTGCGTTTTTAGAGATAATCTGGAGATGCAATTTTTAGTCCTTATAAAAATGCAAACAAACACATTCATGTAAATATGTAACGCAGCATTGAAAGATGGCGCACCATGCTTATCGATTTAGGCTTATCAAGTGATTTTTCAAGATAATAAAGGGTTTATTTGAGAAACAACTAAAACTATACGTATATCAACTAGCAGATCTCTGAGAGGTGACAAATTGTTTAAGTCTTCTTTTTGTGGATGGTGGTTTGTTTCGGCGTAAGGGATTCGGCGGTCGGCGTCTGTAACAAATGGCGAGTGGTGCTATTTTGAATGTTAATGACTCTCATCGTTGTATCTATGAAGTAAAATATCTTCCAAAAAATGTTTCGAACAATAGAATAAGAATATTTATTCGATTAATGTCAAAAGTCTGACATTATTTTCATGTCAAAGTTGGATTCCCGGGAATAATTGTTTTGAGAATTCGAATGTGATGAGAGTAGCGCTAAACGCACAGAACGAACTGGTACGGATGTAATTACGCGACATCTTTATTTCTGCTTACACTCTTTATGTGGTGTTATTTTATTTTGTGATTCAAAAATATTCCCGAATTATAAAACAACCAGGGGCTTTCGAATACCACTCCCTTAGTTCTTGATCTTTTGTTGAGACCTTTTACATTACAATAAAGATTAAAGCTTAGTCTTCAGTGAACCCCGGCCATCTATTTGACATGAACACATTTGACTCACATAGCCCTTGGTGTGCAATGGCTTGTAGCTCGACTATTGGGCGTATCTAGAATTGTACAATTTAACAAGAGGTTGAGAAAAAACATAATTTTGAAAATTCGTTCTGGCCACACCGCCCCAGCCTCCCCCGCGCTCATATCCTTCAATGCATAGGGGATATCGTCATCCTTGTTTATGGCTCTAAATGGCCAATTAAAAAATGGCAAAATGAAGATTATGTCATATTATAAACAAGTAGAGGTTATCTTCAATTCATTTTTGTGAAAGGTTTTGATCATCAAATTATTCTGATGGCCCACCTCGCTTGTGTCTGTCCCAACTGAACGAAAACAAATAACGAAAAATTGCAATTATATCACACGTCACATAATCATTGAGAAGAAGCATCTCTGGTAGAACCTTCATATGAGCAACTCAGCAACAGTGTTTCACTCAATAGAGAATTTGGAAAGTTATCGAATACGTCAAAATATTCAGATAACATTCTAGCTCACGACAACAGTAGAGCACTGTTATTTTAACATGACATCAAATTGCCAGGCGTGACAAAACTAAGTAATGTTCTCACTTTTTTATTAGCATTGGCATTATAAGTAATTTATATATGTACATAGCGGAGCCAATATAATTGTGATGCACCCTATTTGAGGCGTTTAGTATGTTTACATATTTTTATTTGGCTGTTTTTAACATGTCACATCGGACCCTGGAGATGCTGATAAAACCTCATTCAAGTATTATTAATATATTTATCTCTCCTATCAAAGATATCTTTGTTTGATTTAAGATCAAGAATCTGGTTTTTATTATTTCTGGCAGTTTTTCCATTTTCGTTCCTTTCTTAATTTCCAAATCATTTGATCATTCGGAGATTTTGTGAAAATTCTTCTAAGCTCTTAAAAGCCAGGGGCATTGTTAAATAGATAATATGATCCTTTTATCATCAAAATATTGTCTCCATAAGTGCGTTTAAGTCAACTTTCAAATCGTTAAAAGCCGGGCAAGGTTAAAAAAAGGTTACAATCGGGAGATATAAATTGAACTTTATTCCATTTAACGTGTCTGGCTTTTATCATCTTCTTGTACATCGAGATACTAGAGTTAAAGTTGAACGTGAACCTTTTTGTTTTAGTTATCATATCTGTGCGACAAGAAAGTAAGACAATGTGGTTAAAGATGACAAACAAGTGACAAACAAGTGTTTACAAGTTCATATGCTCGCACGTGTATGAACGAACAAGACAGCCACACGTATAACATAACGAAATATTACAATTTATAAGTTACCGTATATGTAATTATGTATGTACCGAAATATAAATATTTATCACAAATACTTTATGTTTATAATTTCAAATGCAGCAACGTCTTAATTATTGCTTTTACAAAAACTTTGACCAGAATTGAATAAACCATCCCCCAAATACCATAGCATGCAGTACTTCTAGGTGTTCCTTTGTCACCGTGTTTCTATCTAGTATAACGTGATGTTGTATATCTTTCTGTCAATTCAATTTGAAAACACACTGCTCCATTTTAAATTTTTTTGAATATTTCAAGATATTCAATTAGTGTTAAAATAACCTTGAAATCAGACCCTTTTGCACGGAATAGAACACTAGCTTATTGAGATCCTGACATAGTCGTCGTGTGATTACAATGTCAATTTTATAAAATACATTGACACTGACAATTCAGCGAGAAATTAAATCCCCGAACCTAACGTCGCCACTTTTGCACCATCATCATCGGAGAGAGATATACAGAGAGGAATAATTGATAATAGAATCATGGAGATACAACTTTAAGTACTTGTACTTTACGTATACCCCGAGAGCAGAGTAGAGTTTAGTTCTAGAAGCTGTATCTTAAGAAGCTAAGTGAAACAAATGCTAGCCTTTGCGCAGAGTCTAGTTAGAAACAAAATCGTGCGACTGCAACAAGTGACGCAGCATAAAGGGTACACGAATGCAGAGGGTGAACAACAAACATCGACCTTGTTGTTGTCCCCCACGGTACGTCATGTGAGGTCTCGTGCCCAGTGGACATTGAACATAAGAGAAGATCAACAAGAAATCCATATTATATGAGAACATATAATATCAGCACCAGAGATTAAGGTACTTTACATATACTGTTTTTGTTTATTCATAATGCAATAAATACGATTACACATTAGAGTAAACATATCAAAGGTAGACTCTTTAATCGCTTATCGCAAAATGATTAATTCTTGGCAGTCATGAAATAAACCAGTCAATCATTTTTATTATTTATTCGTTTTATTAGTTGATATGACTTATATATGATCTTTTTAATGTAAATTATCTTCTTACTAAAGTTTGTACTTGTGAAATGTCAATCAAAATTAAATGTTTCACGGAGAAAAATAATGGATTTATTTGTTAATTCATTCCATAGAAGATGCATTTACATCATGTCATTGGATAAACAATCGATCACTTTTTATTCATCAGTGGTCCCTTCAAACTATTAAACCAGTGTATTCCTTCACTCATGTAATCACTTAGATGGATCAAGATCTGATGCGTCATTTGAGATTAACTCTTCTACGATATGTTCGTCCTGTCACAACAATTACAAAGCTTAAGGTAGACCGAAAGTAATCAAATATAAACCAGTGTATTCCTTGAGTCATTAAATACATCGATGGATCAATATGCGTCATTTGAGAAACACTCTTTTTCCATGTGTTCGTCTTGTCACAAAATTGCAAAGCTTAAGGTAGGCCGAGAGTAATCAAATATAAACCAGTGTATTTCTTCAGTCATGTAATCACTTAGATGGATCAAGATCTGATGCGTCATTTGAGATTAACTCTTCTACGATATGTTCGTCCTGTCAAAAAAATTACAAAGCTTAAGGTAGGCCGAGAGTAATCAAATATAAACCAGTGTATTTCTTCAGTCATGTCATCACATACGGTAGATGGATCAAGATCTGATGCGTCATTTGAGATTAACTCTTCTACGATATGTTCGTCCTGTCACAAAAATTACAAAGCTTAAGGTAGGCCGAGAGTAATCAAATATAAACCAGTGTATTTCTTCACTCATGTAATCACATACGGTAGATGGATCAAGATCTGATGCGTCATTTGAGATAACCTCTTCTACGATATGTTCGTCATGTCACAAAATTGCAAAGCTTAAGGTAGGCTGGGAGTTATCAATTTGTAATCAAGTGCAAATCAGATTTGAATGTTGTTAGACGTTGCCTACCACAACACACAACTTGTTTTCTAAGCACATTAGACTATATTATGCACGATTTCGAAAGTGCACATTGCTAGAATATTATATAACTGTGCGCAAATAGGTAAACGTTTCTTTTAGATTGAAGAATACTTTATTAACCTAAATACTAAACTTGAAAAATGTTCTTGTAGTGTTACAGTATTACATTCTATTATATTCACATTAAGTTTAGTTTATCAATATGCATATACTGTAACTGATCTTCATTAGAGATCTTAGGTCAAGGTCACAATGACATTATATCTTGTAAACATAACTGAACTGAATGACTCATTAACTCTTGGCCTTCTAGAAAGTACTGGAACTTTAATCATTTAAACAAGATTGAATCATGTGACTTAAGATGTCCAATCAGTGTTATTTTCTAGAAATCGTAACTTCTTGAAACATCTGGACTTTGCCTTTGAACTATATAATGAGAGAGCTGATTTGGGCTGTAAGCAGAATTTCAAAGTTGATCAAAGGACATCTTCTTAGCGCAATATTACAGACACCTACTGTGGGAACATTTATAATACTACAAACACACAACCTGAGGAACTTATATGGACATATATTACAACACACACTATATACGGATTGTCATATACATTCGTGGATTATCATAAACATTTGCAGATTATCATAAACATTTGCGGATTATCATTAAACATTTGTGGATTATCGTCAAACATTATTGGATACGAACATTATAGGATTACGACGAACATTATTGAATTATTACAAACATTGGAGAACTATTAACGATTATTGAAACTTTCGTGATCTGGAACATTCTCAAGGATCGTTAAGGATATTTATCGACATCAAGAGACAGGCGTATCATTTCTCTACATCTACGTATCATAAGTATTGACTTTTATATATTATTGTCATCGCATTTAGTTTTTATTAAAATATATTACTGTACATTGTTATATTTTAATTGCTGTTTTTACTTTCTGTTATTTTCGAACGTAACAGAAATTGGGGGCTCGTCCGGGATACAACTACAACAAGCTAGAATACAAATATTTTAAAATTCAAAATCCAAAACTTGTATATTTAAACTGTGAAGACAGCAATTAATTGAAAATGAGTTTTGAGGTTGAGACATTTTTAGAAGCGCCCTCTTTGGAGGAATTTGACGATTTGAAGAAAACTGAACTTCTGGCAATTGCAAAACATGTTGGTCTGTCAGTCAAAAGCTCATACAAAAAGGATACTATTAAAAACTTTGTACTTCAATATTTGGTCGCAGAATCACTTCTGCCTGAGCAGCCAGCCCAACATGTTGACCCTGTTGATCCTATTAAGCTTAAAGAGCTTGAAATAAGAGAAAAAGAATTAGAAATTCAAAAAGAAAGAGAAATCAGAGAATTGAGAGAAAAAGAATTAGAAATTCAAAATGAAAGAGAAAAAAGAGAAAGTGAAAAAGAAATAAGATTAAGAGAAAATGAAAGACAAATGAGAGAACAAGAAATTCAAAGAGAAATTGAATTAAAACGCCTTGAGATAGAAGCTCAATCAAAAACTGATGAACATGCTACTATGCATCAACATTTTGAAAATAGGTTTGACGCTTCAAAATTTCTCAAATTTGTACCTAAATTTCAGGAGAAAAATGTTGATAAATACTTTACGCATTTTGAAAAAGTCGCTCAAAGCCTCGATTGGCCTAAATCTGCATGGCCAGTTATGCTCCAGAGTGTATTTATTGGTAAAGCAAGTGAAATATTTGCCTCTCTCTCTGGAGAAGTATGCTCTGATTATGACCTAGTTAAAAATGCAATTCTTAAAGCTTATGAACTAGTACCAGAAGCTTACAGACAAAAATTTAGAAATGCCCACAAACAGAGTGACCAAACCCATGTTGAGTTTGCTCGAGAGCAAGAGCAGCTTTTTGACAGGTGGCTTGTCTCTAAAGATGTATCTGAAGAGTTTAAGAAGCTCAGAGAGCTAATGCTTATAGAACAATTTAAAAACTGTGTTCAGTATCACATTAGAACTTACTTAGATGAACACAAGGTAGAAACTTTGAGTCAAGCTGCCACCCTGTCTGATGATTATGCTCTTACTCATAAGGGTAGTTTTATCAAGGGCAATCCTAACTATAGGGGTTATCAGGGTAACAAACCTTCATATGACTCTAAATCAAATCAGTCCTCATCATCAAATACATCAAACAAAGCAAAAGACCAGTCTAATTCATCACAGAGTTCTAGCTCAAAATCAGATCAATCAAATTCTTCAGGTCCAAAATCAAATGTCACCTGTAACTATTGTAAAAAGCCTGGTCATCTTATTTCTGAATGCTATAGGATTAAGAATAGAAGAGAGATGTCTGGTTCTGCTCATTCAAATGGTTGTGCTACTGTTCCCATTTCAAGAAAGCCCATTGTTTGGGATTCATATACTCATACTGAGAAATCTACTCATAGTGATATTATGGAGGATTATAAGCCTTTCATGTCGGAAGGATCTGTGTCACTGTCAAGTGATGATACCAATTCAAAGCCTGTTAAGATTCTTAGAGACACGGGTGCATCTCAGACTTTGTTGTTAGAAGGTGTCCTTCCTTTATCTGAGGAGTCATTCACAGGTACCCATATTTTGATGCAAGGCATTGAATTAGGATTTACTAAAGTTCCCCTCCATCGTATTCATATCACATCAGAGTTAGTCAAAGGGCCAGTTATTGTTGGTGTTAGGCCACAACTTCCTGTTGAAGGAGTCGCATTGCTTTTAGGCAATGATTTAGCTGGGGGTAAGGTATCATTAGACCCCATTGTTTCTGATCAGCCTTGTTCTATTGAGGATTCTGTCCAAGAGGACTCTGATATATATCCTGCTTGTGCTGTTACTAGGGCTATGGCTAAAAAGTTAGCTGATAGCGGGGATTCGTCTGTGGGAGATGACTTTGATAGTGGGTTTTTAAGCTCCTTGTTTGATGATGAATGTCACTCACCACTTGTTAAAGATGATCCTTATCCTATTTTAAAGGCAAATTCTTCATTGAAACAGCCTTCTGTTCGAGCCAAGCAGTCATCTATTGAGGCAAATTCTTCATTGAAAAAGCCTATTGCCAGAGGTGATTCACCTTCTGAGCAGGATCACTATTTTAATGCGGTTTCGCCCGCTCTTGCTAGTACTGATGAAGTTTCGTCTTCTTCTGCTAGTGTTCATGAGGTTTCATCCCCTCCTTGTTCTGAGGTTTCATCCTCTTCTAGTTCTGAGGTTTCATCCTCTATTTCTGATAGTGATTCTTTGAAAAATGATCCTCATTCTAAACACATGTTAATTTATGAACAAGAGCATGATCCATCACTCATTGATCTTCATAAAAGATGTCTTACTATTGATGAAGCTGACAAGGTCCCTGTTTGTTTCTACAAAAAGGATGGCATATTAATGCGAAAGTGGAGACCTCCTGAAGCTTCCCCTGAAGACGATTGGGCAATTGTACATCAAATTGTTGTCCCCAAATCATATCATAAGGAAATCTTGAGTCTAGCTCACGATTCTCCCATGGCAGGTCATTTAGGAGTAACTAAAACATACCATAAAATACTCAACCATTTCTATTGGCCCAAATTAAAACAAGATGTCCAAGAGTATTGTAGGTCTTGCCACACATGTCAAATGGTAGGGAAACCTAACCAGAAAATTCCAATTGCTCCTTTACACCCTATACCTGCATTTGATGAACCATTCAGTAAAGTTCTTATTGACTGTGTTGGTCCATTACCAAAAACAAAATCTGGTAATCAATATTTACTCACTATTCTTTGTATGGCCACGCGGTTTCCAGAAGCGATTCCACTCAGAAATATCAAAGCCAAAAATATAGTGAAATCACTCAT